AGCCGGGTAATGAAACGTTTGCAAGAAAAGAACCAAGCTCAGAGAACCCCAAGGACTCCATGGAGCTATGTTTGCAAAATCACTTTCAAAAGAAAAGGTGAGGAGTTGTATTCAGGATATGCAGTGAAAAGCTTTAGAGACCCCATGTAGGCCCATCGAACACTATTACTCATTTTAGCTTTAAAAATTATTCAAACTTTCATTTGGAGGTGGAATCAAGCAGAAGGTAAGGGTTGCCTCTGTATTCACCTTATGGTTTCTCAGCTTCCTGGTAGTATCTAGTTAATGACCAGAGTTTTAAATATGGAGTAACCTTTACTATCTGGACCGAATCAATGAATTAGATGTTTGTTTTGATACCCTATTATCTCAGAAGCCTTGACAGTCATCAGACATATGGTCTCTGCACATCATAAAGCCATTCCATACCACCCAGACAGTCCACTAATAAAAGTTGAAAACGCTGCACTCTGGGGCATTTTAAATAATTTTTCCAAGTGTGAATAGCAGACTTCAGAACAATGGAAAAAGTAGTAGTAGACCTCAATGTGTAGTTTTCACAAAAGAAAAATTAAACGACAACAAAAACTTAGTTGTGTTTAAAAAATAAAATAATATTCAGTCTTGGAAGTAAAATTCAAATGCTTCCATAGGCTTGAATATCAAATATTCTTAGCAGCATCTTTTGTGAAGATACCTTGGTTCATGTAATTATAAATACACTTGTCTTCTATGAATTTGGAGAAATTGTTTTTTAAGGAAAGCACCTGAGTCGACTGTTTTTAACAACTGTAAAGACACATATTGGATATTGGGATATTGTAACCTATTGGAAAGTAGTTATTAAAGAGTAAAGTAATGCCATTTTAGAAGGGAAGTTAGTGCTTTGCCATTACATAGATGCAAGAGTGTCACATAACATAGATAAGAAAGGGTCCTATACTTACTAAGTTTTAGGAGAAAGTAGTGGACCATCTAAATGTGACTGTGTGACAAAAACTAAAATTCTCAGAGGATAATATTCTCTTGAATTACGTACCTAGTACATGGAATTTGACAACTGGACACCATAAATGGAGTTTTCGTGCTCTTACTATGGCCAAAAGGCTGATATTGACGCATTGGAAAGATAAATGCATGGCCCCATTCACTCAATGGATTGAAGACCTGATTGCGCTTGCCACTTACGAGCGGATTGCCGATAGACGTAGACTTTGTATGGATAAATACAATAAAATATGGGACTCATTTATGCAAAATACAGGTTAAAAAAAAGCATGGTAGTTATATAAATGTGTTACAAACACACAGACACTTGCATAATGTATTAGAAAATTATATAGAGAATTGCAACTGTTCATAGTTGTGATGACTCTTTTATATTTTTTCTGTTGTATTCTTTTCACTTCTTTTTTAAGCACTTATGTATTTTTATTTGACAATGTATAATTTTTGTGTTTTGTTCCCTTTTTTCCTTTTTCTGTTATTTTCAAAGCAATAAAATAAATCAAAAACATAAGAGGACTCTATTATGGTCCTAGCAACAGAAATAAGATGTGCCCATTAGAAAGTGAGAAATTAGACTATTCCTTATAAGGAAAGTAAAAGTTGACAATTCTAGAACTAGACATGCGTAAACTAGTAGTTAGGGTTGGGGTTAGGGTTCCACCCCTGCCTGGGGGCCGGCCATATTCAACACTTTCGTCTTGAACACTAATAGCTTTTGAACTCTGCATAAAGGTGTCTGGTGTTCTGACCTGAGCAAGGAACGAATGATAGGGCAGAAATTCTTCCAACAAACCCAAAAGTTATTATAGGAAAATGTTCTGAGAATCTTTCATGAACTCTTGGCTCATTCACAGCAAGCAAAATGTGATCTGAGAGACCACACCAAAGTTGTGACAGGTGACAACTCAGCAATAGAGTGAGCACAGCCCCTTTTTGGACTTTTTGTGTGAAAGAGAAAAAAATGAAATCATGATATATGGATTCGATGATTAGAAATAATAGTAGACATTAGAAAAAAATGAATGTTATGTTTTAAACTTAGAGAAAGAACTTGAAGCAACTTTAGACATGTATCTGTTGAAAAAGAAAGTTGGAAGCCATTTTTCTTTTGCATTTCTGTTTTTTTTTCTTTCTGCACTTTTGATCTTTTTCATCCTTTACCTTTTTCTCTTTTCTGCTTTCTGTCTTAATTATTAGTTCTCGTTAGTTCTTATCTCTTTATGTTAAAAATCTAATAAAGTTATTTCAAAAAGGAGTTGAAACCAGCTCAGGAAGGAAAATAGAGACTGCTCTGCCATCAGGTTGCAGAAACCAAAATAAGTCTTCAGAAATGGAGTCTTCAGAAACAGGGCAGCATCTAAGCTGAATTAATTCATTAAAACCAAGAAAAAAAACAGTGGAATGAAAACAGAGTCCAACAGCAAGAAAATGAAATGTAAAGATCTGAAGATCTTCTTCAAATCAAGTCATTGGCTGAGATTAAACGAAAGAACGAGAGCTAATGACTGGGAGTGTACAGTCACACATAGCAGAATGCCAGGTCAGTTTAATTCTTGTATGATGGGTAAGCCACAAACGATTGGGTTCACATATCAGACTAAGCCATAAACCAGGATCTCTATATCCCAACTGGATTTACACAGCACACTAAGTTAAAAACAAACCAACCTTGTTACGGCTTGCTGTGTGATGTCAATGCCTCTCATCAGCTTGAATGTTTGTGGGGACGCAATAGTGACATCTTCATGCAAATAATATAATGATGATGCCTCTGACACCAGTGACATCATTTGAATTATGTCCATGATCATTTTGTGAGACAAGTGACGTCACGGGTTGTCACACCGATGCTTATAAATGCAGAGTTTAAAGAACTACATAAAGAACAATAGTTGCTAAATATTTTCATCAACCCAAACCTTGGTTTTGAGATGACCTTTAGGTCGTGTACTTTGCATCCCAATGTTAACCTTTTTTTTTTTTAAGGAATGAATTGGCTGTTGCAGATTTCACGTCAGGATTGATAAGCTCTTGAACCACAGAACTCTTGACCAGAGAGAAGAAAGTTACTTTTTATAAACCTTTTTGTAAAAGAGGTAGCCAAGAGAGCAGTTGCTCTGGCGGGAGACAAATTAACAACCCACATTGTCCTAAAGCTATGGTTTAGTTAGCTATCTTATTCATGAATGATCCCAAGACTACCTTAATGAGTTAATGGCACTAAAACAGTGTTTTTCAAACTTGGCAACTTTAAGATGTGTGGACTTCAACTCCCAGAATTCCCCAGCCAGCATGCTGGCT